TATCACCTATTCAGGTTGTAAATCGTGTTTTTAAAAAGTAACTAAGTAACTAAGTAATTAATTACTTTTGAAAATAAGTAATCAGTAAGGTATCAAGATTACTTTTTTGGGGAAGTAATCAGTAATTAGTTACTGATTACTTTTTATAAGTAGCTTGACCAACACTGGTTACCAATATTAGAGATACTGCACTCACTTGTTGCTGTTTCTGATACACTGGGTGAGTGTGAGTGTATTATTAGTGGCATATTAACACAGTTGAAAAGTGTAGTTGCTGAAGGGGAATAAAAGCCCTGCCTCACCCCAGACCACGTTTTCATCGGTGAAGGATAATAGAAAGTGACAACTTCTTACGGGGGAACTACCTTCCCGCTTTCCTTCCGCCTTCAAATTCATTCACTGTGTGCATAACTGTGTCCAAATTTGTGTGAGTAAAAAGAGGAGGAAAAACAGAGACAAACAAAAGCTTGTACATGCAGACTTTACCTAACTATCGATGTTTCCCTCAGATGTAAGTGTAACGGCCATGCCAGCGAGTGCATTGAGCAAGAACATGGTAACCTGGTCTGCGCCTGCCAGCATCACACAGAGGGAGCCGACTGCCAGAGATGTCACCCCTTTTACCAGGATAGACCCTGGGCCAGGGCCACTGGGGACTCTGCCAATGAGTGTTTGAGTGAGTAGCTTGATCCAAGGGTGACACTGTGAACCCACTGGGTGCAGCCATCTGGAAAATACACGTGCCAGTGTTAAATTCAAATGACATTCTCAGGCTGTCAGAGATCCCACTTAATCCATCAGTGTGCTACCTCACATCAATCCCCAGTATTTTTTAAATCTCGATATGTTCACATGCACCTTTTGTCTTTTATTGTGCGAGTTAGTAAATACAACCACTCATCACTGTTGGGGAGGATAAAAAGCACGTAGTCTGGAAGTCCTCGTGGAAATCACTGAACTTTACTGATCTTCATTATGCTCTAGGCTGAATGATTTTTTATTATGCTGAACTCAGCTTTACACATAATTTAACAATACGTCTGCCACCGCAGATGACCTTTTTTTTCTTTTTTCTATTTTTGTGTGCAAAAGTTGCCAGTAAAGGAAATAATCTGATGTATTTAAAATTGTCTGATTGCAGAGCCAAACATCTGTGAGATCCCTGGAAGATTTGTGTATATTTGATTTTTGGCTCATATGCGCAAATGTTTGCAGGCATTCTCCCACCGTTGCTTTTGTATATGTGATTTAGCTGAGTGTTATCGGGTTTGGCTCGTCAGACCATGCATTCCAGCTGAATCCTGCTGAAGATTAACCCTTCTTTTTTTCCCCTGAATTCTATTAAGCAGCAGACTTGCTCTAATTACTCTTGCACTTGCTTCCGAGCAGATGGCATCTTAAATAGACTGATGCACCCAACTTAATCAATTCTGTGCATTACTATAGACACCTTATAAAAGCACCAGAGAATGCGAAAGTGCAAAAAACCAAATGCTCATTGTAATTGTTCATCTCTGTCTGGCAAAAGATTCATTTTGACTGAGTTTGCCCCAGCCAACGCCGAAACAGTAATCACTGCTTTTAACTACTTGTGATTACAATCAGCAAATCAAAATCAACATACACTAAATACACAGAGTCATGTAAACAAAAAAAAACAGGGTTTTTGGTGTTTAAACTAATTTCTGACAAAATATTATTTTATTAAACTTCATCATCAAAAGGCTGGACAGTCTACATAAACATATGTAGTGTTGTCGAATGGAAGAGGTTCAAACATAAGGTCTGTGGGCCAGAATCGGCCCAAAAAAGACTCCAACCTGGCCCACTGGACAGCTGTGGAAAATGTGAAGGAGGACATAAATTTTAGACTATTAACAGCATTTTCATAAACAACTTATTGTACTGACAAACACCTCACCCACAGCCATTCATACTACATTAATAAAGTAATAAATAAACAATTAAATGACAAAAAAAAAGTTCCTGTACTATAGAAACGTCTGTTTGTTTTACAGTGTGTACACAGTTAAATCAATAATGAGAATTTTCTTTGAATGAACAGAAACTTGCCACTTTATGATTACAGGGCAGTCTTGGCAATGAGATATCAGAATTTTCAGTAATTTTAAACATGAATTTCTTACAGTTTAAGCCCAAAGAGTCATGCTGAGTCTTTCATTTACTATAGTGTTTCTTTATCATGTAGAAAAACTGAGACAGTCTATTGAAGTAACTCTTCTTTTTCTTATTTTGAGATATCTCATGGATTAAACTTGTCCGGCCCACTTAAGATCAAAGTGGGTTGTAAGCAGGCCCACGATGCAAAATCTTGTTAGAGTCTGTAAATGAAGGACTTACAGGGTAAGTTTCCTTTAAAATATATTACCCCATAAACTAAAAAACATGCCTTATTATACGAGCTATAAAATAATATAGGCTGCAGTACAAAGTTTAAGATTTAGTGTTTTATCTCCAGTTTTATGACTACATAAAAACGTCCTTTCCTCAATTATGATAATTTTACATAAAACACTGTAAGTTTTGATATGATTCACTGGCAGGCATTGGGTGTTATATATATTTTGTAATTTATTAGCCATGCAACCCATTATATTAGCAAGGGCAGTGTTTGGATTTGCAAACATTCATAGCAACATGTAGACTGGCGTGTGTTAACAATGTGGATCATTTCAGAGAATTTAGATGTATTCTTGTTAAACACATTTTTCTGCATTTATTGTGGATGTATAATGTATCCATCCATCCATCCATCCATCCATCAATGGATTGAAATCTATCCTGCTGACACTGGACAAGAAATAGGGCACACCCTGCGGGTCAGCATTCAGTCAAAGGCCTGACACATACTATAGAGGCAGGCAACCATTTACACCCCTATTCACACCTAAACGTTGTAAATCTAACTTGCATGTCTCGCGTGTGGACAGTGAGAGGAAACTGTAGCACGCAGAGGGAACCCATACAGGCAGAGAGAGTGCCACATCATTTTATTGATGATGATGGTGATTGATGTGGTCATTGTTTAAAGACTGCTATTCAAAAAAAATTTTTTTTTAATGATTATTCGTTTTTTCTAGTGGTACTAGTAGTAAGCCAGTTTTCCAACTTTTTCTAAATCAGCAGGTAGTAAAGCTAAAATGATAACAACAGAAATTTGTTTCTCAATAGACTTTAATGTAAAAGGTTTTCATTATCTTAATATAAATTGATTAGCACACAGCAGCTGCTACTACTAACAGAGCAAAAACATAGTAACACAAAGATATTAAAGTTATGTTTGTGGCCCATTTAAAAATTAGCTACCCAGATTATACAACGTCAGTTTAAGAAAAAATGAACAAAAAAACATCCAGAAGACTCTGGTGAGTCAAGCATCTCTTTTAATAGATATTTTTACACAGATAATCTTTTAGAACTGAAAATAAACTGCACCAGATGAGACCTTTAAAGATTTTTTAACTCTTGAAAGCTAACAATACGGCAATAATAAAGACAAAACATGAATTTTTTAAAACAAACACCAAGTGACACCCAGTTAATTAACTTCCTATTTTCTGCAGTCACATCTTTTGCTGCATATAGTAAATCATATTCCAGAGATTTAAAACTTAAGCTACTGCTCACTTTCCAATAATTAACTTGTAGCTTCATATCATATATGATCATCTCAGAAAATCCAATTTATTAAATTTGTCTCTTAATCATTGCAGTTTTTGTTTGTGAGCACACGCAATGGGTTTGAATGAAGGATCAGATTCCTCAAAGGCTTTCCATTTCAGCACAAGATAAAGCACTGCAGTGTTAAGTAAACGATTACCCACATTTACCAGAATGCTTAAAACAACACGAATAAGCACAAGTACAGTCATTCCAAATAACCCAGTGCTGACCCTGGATGGAATGTGTCAGCACAATGCTTTGGTCAATTGGGAAAATTTGCATAATCTTCCCACATAAAATGACACTTGACACGTTACCCATCGTGTTTTAAAGAAAGAGTATGGTTACCTTTTTTTTTTTTTTGTAATACCATGTGACGATGATCATGTTTGACATAGAATTAGGGCTCGCAGTAATATCAGCAGGCTGATTAAAATAAATGGTTTGTTAATAAGATGACTAGTTTCTGTTTTGCAGATTAACAGAAAAGCATCTGTTTTATCTTCTTAGCTTTATTTCAGCCATAAAAACATAAAAAAAAACTGTCACAGTTCCATCAGTCATAATTTATGATCTTTACAGGGCACAATGTTCGGGGAGTTTCAGATTTAGAGCCTCATTTAAAAGAAGAAAAGGAAGAAAAGTGTGACAATCTTGCAATTATTACCGCTGTCTTTGCTGTTGTTCTTGTCTGAACAGCAATAGCAGGTGGTAAATGGAAGCTTTAGGTGGCTTTTTACAAGAGTTTTTTCAATATTATGTGAACGTGACTCTGTGTGTTTATGTGTAATTTTAATATTAGTGTGGTTTTTTTATACAAACTTGAATTCAGACTGTATTTTGTTTAGTTATTGTTTTTTACCTGGCTAGGTTTTTTTGGTCTTAAGGTGTGGAGAAATAACACAAACCTTTTTGCTACAATTTGCTCTGTGTGTGTGTGTGTGTGTGTGTGTGTGTGTGTGTGTGTGTGTGTGTGTGTGTGTGTGTGTGTGTGTGTGTGTGTGTGTGTGTGTATCAGGAGTGCAATGGAACGTCATTCTCATCAAGATTCTCCCCCTCTGAGACTGAAATCATTTATAGCCTGGGCAGGTTGCTTTGGGCCTTCACCATTTTTTGTTGTTTGCTTGATGTTGGAAGTGGCTTAGCCTGAGGCTGTTCCAGTAGGTACATGCTTTAAATCCCTTTTTTTAAACCACTGATTTATTGCTGATCCCGTTGTAGCTTGTATACTGTGATCATTTTGTTGCATACCTATTGTGAGGTCGACAACAAGGTAGATACATCACATACTTAACATTTTATTTCGGCCCCCTAAACTCCTGCTGTGAAAAAAGATGGTTGGGTAGCACCCAGTAATAATCATGCTATTTAGCATTAATAAGATTTTATTATGGTATTAGCATCAACAACGTTAGCATAAAACCCACATAGATATATAAACTATAAACATTTAATATTGAAAACCCAGCTGCTAAATGTTCATGAAATTAGCTTGCTTTAAAGTAGCCAGCTCAAGATCATCATCAGCAATTGCAGGTCGAGAAATTTTTCTAACATTAATTTCACACTAAGCTGAAAATGATGATAAGCTGGTGTAGAATATACAATACCAAGACACTTACTTAGTCTGCAGTTTCTTAGAACATGCAAAATTCTAGAAAGCATCTACAGTTCCATAAGAATTAAGAGAGTAAGCAGTACCCAGCTGTTAATAATCAAATACAGTTGATTAACTGATCATCAGTAAGTTTGTGCACCTGTGTAAAAGGTTTTGTCAAATTGCTTTCAGGAGCATTTAGATGTGTGTCAATATAGTGTCACAATCTACCCAGGAGTGGATGTCACAGCAAGTTCACTCATAGGTCAGACTGTACGATGCTCAGACAAATCGCAAGTGCTAGGTCTCAGTTAGCATGTGAAACATTAAAGCTCCTGATAGTACAATTACAAAATGACTGAACAGGTATGGCTTGTTTGGCTGCCAGAGAAACT